TAGAAAATGTTCTTGCTTTCTACACATGGGAAGTCTTTTTTCCGCAGAAATAAAGGCTAGAGACTAGAAATATTTACGATTTTCAAAAATCATCCAGAAAAATTTCAGAATTTAATAAAAAAAATTCTAGATTTTGAATCAAACCACATTCACATGAAATGAATTGCTGAAATAACATAAAAATTCGAAATGAAAACAAACGCTATTTATCAAAACAACAAATTCGTTGCCTACTTTTAGGGGACATGAATATTTAGCCAAAATTCAGGCAAACTTTAAAAGATAGCATAGCAAAAAAAACAAAAACGCATCAAGAACATTAATAAAATCCAATTTAAAAAATTGTTGCCTACTTTTAGGAGGACATGAATATTATGCCAAACTTTAAGCAAATTCCAAAATATGGCATAACAAAAACACATTAAGGATATGGACATTTTGTTTAAATCTGGGCCAATTCCAAAATATAGGGCAGAAATTTTTTCAAAAACAATTAACAATTAAATATTAAAAAAATGCTACCTAATTTTAGGATGTCACTATGTAGGCAAATTTCACAACAAAATTGGTAAATTACAGACATTTTTGATTAGATCCCAGCAAAATAAATAAATAGAGCAAAATAGAGGTTTTTTCCATAAAATAATGTTGCCTGCTTTTAGGTGACCAAATTCAATATTTTCATTTGTGTAGACAAAAATTGTTGAAAATGTAATAATGTATATTATATAATGTATTACAATTCGAAAAACAAAATTCTCTATTTTCCAAAAAAGAATGTTGGTGCCTACTTTTAGGCATGTAGTGTTGCCTAAATTCAGGCAAATGCTAAGAGCGGCGTTTGTTAGGGCTGCAAATTTGATTGAAACTTAAATATTACTTTTCTAATGTATTTTTTACCAATAAGACATGTTTACAAAAATTTTATGTTCCCGTAAAGTGGGCAAAAATTGTAATTAAGAAAATTCAAAACACATATTTAGTCTAAATTTTCAAAAACACATTTCTTGGTATTTTATTTTAGAAAAGTAAAAATTACTTGCCTAAAATTAGGCAAAATATGAAAGTAACTAAAATATTTATAGAATTTATAGGAGAGCAAACCAAATATTTCGAAATGGGACTTTTTAAAATGTATATACTTCTAAAATATATATACTTCCTAATTTTCATAACAAAGTATTTTGGGCAATTGTAAAACTATTGCCTACATTTAGGTTAATTCTGAGTAAACATACCTTGAGGCAGCAAATAATTATTATATATTATCTTTTGCATAATTTGTTTCAATACTAAAATCATGTTCCTAAGATTTATAGAATCATTCAAAATTCCGTAGTTTTAGAATTATATTTATATTTAAAAAACATATAGGTTTCATAGATATTTAGGATTTTAGCTATAAAATAAAAAATAGTTCAGATTTCATTTAATATAAACAAAAATTAATATTATAAAAAAGTTCCTAGGATTTTAAATTCACAACTGTTTATTTACAAAAATAAAAAAATATTCTAAAATCAAGGCTGAATTAAAAATTTGATTTCAAAATAGTTGCTATTCACAAAGGCTCTGTTATTTCAGCAATTCACCACCAAAGAGAAAAACGTTCCTATGATTCCAAAATCAAATTTCAAGTGGAAAAACTAAAAGTTTTCCAAATATGTTTTACATTTTTTGAAATACAAGAAAAATTGAAACCAAATATAACTTTCAACGATTTTCAAACCAAAAAAAAAACTAGAAAAATGTCTATTAAATAGGCAAAACAAGAAAGTAATCTTAATGTATACATAATAAATACATACATACATATGCATATAGACAAAACTATAATTGAATTATATAAACAAGACACACACACAGAGACACACTTACATACCCATATACACAAATTATACTACGTTCCTATATATATACATTATGTATTATTAACAAAAAAAACACAAGAAAAGTAAAACCAAAAACATTTTGTAATTTAGTAAACAATAAAATAAGTTACAACTCCTATAGCAAATAAGGTTATACAAAAACTAAAAACGCATAGAAATTATGACAGTATTATGTAACAAACAAAATATGAACAAAAACCATTTGTAGATATTTAAATAACAAACTATATGATATTGTAAAAAAAAAATAAATTTCCAAAAATATATTCAACATATTTAAGGTAATTTATTTTTAATTCAACAAAATCATGCAACTATATACAACAAAAGAAATTATTAAATATGCAAAAAGAGTAACAATATATTATATATAATAGAAACGAACAAACAAACAAAGAAGAACAAAATTAAAAAAATAATAAAAATATAAAAGTATTATAATTATACTGAAACAAACATAGAATGTGCCTGCGTAAATATATTTTTAGCCAAACAAAAACCAAAAAAAAAGTAAAACAGCAACTAAAATAATTAAAGAAATAAAAACTATAGAATATATATATAAAACACATCTCACAATATTTGTTTGATACATTTAATAAACCAGCAAAAATATAAAAAACCGACAAAACACAAGCCGAAAATTTAATACAACAAATGTATAGTTAAACTAGAAATAATATTAAATAAATAAATTGAATTATAGAAAAAAAAAATAATTTATTACCAAAAAAAAAAACAAAAATCATAATAAAAAAATGCTAATTCACAGACACTTAGCAAAGCGACAACAAATAAAAAAAAACTTAAAAGGGAAAAATAAGAGTAATTAATAAATATAAATGAAAATATATAACAAATAAGAGCTCAAATTTCCACAAGAAAGGCAAAGAGAGACGTTATTTAAATTAAAATAATTTTTAATTTAATATTTTTATTTTATTTTTTATTTCATTTTATTTTTTAGAAAATGCAAAACAACTCTCTTTGATTATTTTGAAAAAAGTCACTTTCTTATTAACAATTAAATATTTTTTTTAATGTGTATTTTCAAACTAACTAATGGAAATTAAATTTTAAAAATTATTATTTTGCAAAACTTTTTTTTGAATATACAGGGTGAGATAAAAAACTGCAACAAAGTCAAAACCCACAATTTTTTTTAAATTTTATTGAATGAATGAAAAAAATGTCGGAAATAGCATCAAATTTTAAGTTAAGTTTAGATTTTTTCGAATTCGGCACGAATTATGGCCTTCAAACGGCCAATGAAACCGTCACACGCTGCCCTAATGTTGCTCTGCGGTATTTAGGCCCTTTCCCTGCGAAGAACTTGCTTGAGGTGATCGACACTTTGGTATTTTTTAATGCCAACCTTGCTTTCCAAAATACTCCAGACACAATAGTCCAACGGATTGGTACCTGTAGATTTTGGTGGCCACTGCGACGCGGGTTTTGATCCTGTCGCTTCTTTACTTTTCAAACCATTTCTGCTGATGTTGCTGGTTTCTTCCGTCCACTTCCTTGACGTCGGGCTACGCTACTAGTATCACGGTGACGAACGATGGTACAAGACACAAAAAATTTATTCACATTTAAATTCTGGAGTTACCTAACGATAGCCACTTGTGGTTTCCCAGCCCTCACGAATACGTACGCTTGTAAACAATATAATGAGCTGTCACTGAAATAATTTTAGCAGCTGTCGGACGATTGGCTTAGAAATGACAGCAGTCTGAAGTTGGTTTCATTTTTTTTATCTCACCCTGTATTTAAATTTCCAATATCTCCGATTAACCTTTTTTATTACATTAAAATACCAACGTTTTCCATCGAATATATTTTCTAATTTTTCTTTAAAATAAATACCGAATAAAATTATTTTTAACACCATTTTTTTATCATTTTTTTTTTTTTGATATTTGAAATTCAGATACATTTTAATTTAAACTAAAATTAAAAATAACATTTTTTGGTAAAAGAAAATAATATTGTTTTAAATTTTAAATTTAATTAATTTTATTTTTAAAATTAAAACTCTTATATTTTTATATAATAATAATTTTTTAAATTTTAAAATTAATTCATATTAATTTTAAAATTAAATTTGTTGTATTTTTATTTTCCTTTTTAATCATGCTTATTGTTTTTTTTTATAATTTCTAATTTTGTTTACTCACGGCAACGTTCAATTGAACCATTCACTAAAGTGAACCAATGGACTAGGTCAGTCAAACGCGTTTGTTTTTTGTTAAAAAAAGGCAGATTACCGTAAAAATATAAATTAAAATAACTTTTCCAGTGAGCTTTTTAATTTAATATTTACACTTTGTTTTATTGTTTTTCTTTAAAAAAATTATAAAAAAATGCGAAAACATGAAATTTAATACGTAAAAACAGGTTCCTATTAAATTAATCAAAAAAATGACAACAAAAATAACTTTGAAAACTAAAAACGAGAAAATGAAAACTAACAAAAATTAAAAGAATTTTGAAACAATTTTTATAAGAAACGTTTTTTGTTTAGTTTAAGAAAATAAAAACCAACAAAAACAATCCCAGGCCCGAAAAAAAATATTTTTTAGGAAGGTACCTATGAAATTTCTTTGTAACCACACAAGAGAATTCCTATTTAAAAACAAGCAACAATAAATCTTAAATTGTTTAGTTTTAGTTAAAATTTATTTAAAATAATGAATTAATTTATTTCATTATTTTGTATTTAAACCCAAAAGAACAACAAACTTGAGTATTATTAAAACCAAGAAAAAGAAATAATTATAAAATAGCAAAAGAAATAAATATTATAAATTCTTTAGGACAAGGAAATGACTTAACGACAAGTAGGAAGAAGAAGAAGAATAAAATGAAGAAGAAGATAATGAAATAAAACCTATAAAAGGCAAATATATACAATATATTTTCAAATAAAAACCCTAAAGAAAAAAATGAATAAATGAATGATGAAAAATGAGAAAAGAAAAACAAATAAAAACAATAAAAAAGATAAACGAAAATAAAATGCGATTTTTATTTTTCCCTTCTCCCTTATCCCTTAAAAAAATAAAAAAATGGATTTTAATAAACTTTTATTTTTTGTTATTTTAGTAAGCCGCCGTTCCCTGGAAATGCGTGTTCGCGCCACTGATCCTCGTCCCTGTCCAAAATGCGGCAAAATCTATCGCTCGGCCCATACCTTGCGTACCCACTTGGAGGACAAACACACTGTGTGCCCGGGTTATCGTTGCGTGTTGTGCGGTACTGTGGCCAAATCACGTAACTCTTTGCATTCACACATGTCCCGTCAACATCGTGGCATTTCTACAAAAGATTTGCCTGTGCTACCCATGCCCAGTGCTTTTGATCCCGAATTGGCTTCCCGTTTGCTGGCCAAGGCTGGTGTGAAAATTTCCCCGGCTGAGTTGAGGGCTCGCGCCTCCCCCACCAATGGTGGTGGTGGTGGCGGTGGAACTGGCCAAACTAAACTGGATGCCAGCTTGTCGAACAACATGAAAGATGAGGCCGAAGATTCCGATGATGATCCCGAGGACTTGACCACAGCCAGTGGAGGTTATAGCAATGTGGGTGGATCCAACAGCGATTTGAGCCGTTACCATGAATCTTTGTTGAGCAATTTTGGCCATGCCAATACCACAATATCGCGCATAAGAAATGAAGCTGCAGCTGCTGCAGCAGCGGCCGCTGCCTTGGGTCAACAAAAGGATTTGGCTGGGCAAATACCCACAAGTACGGCTGCTGGACAATCACTTTTGGACACATATTTGCAGTTTATAACTGAGAATACATTTGGTAAGTTGGCATTTAGGATTTTGGAAGAAGTTTTGAAAATTGAAATTAATTTCTTGTTTTCCCCCAGGTATGGGTATGTCCCAGGAACATGCTGCTGCTGCCGCCTTACATGCTGCCAAAATGGCCCAACTAAATGCCATGGGCCATGGTTTGGATAAACTACCGCCGGGCCTATTGCCACCCCAGTTCGATTTGAGTAAATTGGCTGGTCAGGCTGCGGGAAATGCTTTCAATAATCTAGCCGCCGCCAGCGGAGTGGGTGGTAATGGTGGCCTCACCATTGAACCCATTATGAGACGTGACATGATGTCACCGCACAATAGCAATGAAAATCTACACAATTCCCAGAATACCCCCGCCAGCTCCAGCCAGAATGATATACGCCGTGATCCCTCCGAACCCATGGATCTGGGTCTGGATGCCAACAATCAGTCGGGTAGTCATAACAATGACAACATGGGTTCCGACAATGAAGACAACTATTCCGAGGATGAGGGAGTGCACAACACATAAATCCCGTAGAATTGTATAGGAATATAGGAAATGAAATTGTTGTTTTAAGTGAAAAAGTAGGATTATTTCTTCTGCGTTTAGTTTTTTTTTATTGCAAAATTATCCTTCCTTCGTGGCATGGAAGATGAGAAGATGGGCCTCCTTTGGAGGTTCTGTTTTTCCCCTAACAAAAACAAAAGGAAATTAGTTTAATTTTTTAGATGAACAAACAAACAAACAGATATGAACAACAAAGAAGCCTTAAAAATGTATACCAGTTTATTTTATTCTTTTCGAATATTTTTACAAAAAATTGAAAATTTACTGCAAAGAAATCTATTTTGAAATAGTAAAAATATTTTAGAACATGATTCGTATACGATTTACGACAGATTAAAAACATTGAAAAAAAAAATATATATATTGAAAGGTTTAAAATTATTTGTATATAAAATTAATTGAAAAAAATTGAACACAAAATATTTTGAAAACAAAAATTTGAAAATTTATAAAAAACGGGTAAAGAAAAACCATTTCTGTCTTAAAAACTGAAATATTAAGAATATGGTCTGAAGATTTTCCGTATTATAGAAAAGAAATTTGAAACTTATTTTTTACTAATATTTCAGTATAAAAAAATGTTAGAACCCATGGACAGAAATTTTCAAACCTAAGGTATTTGTCTTATGGCCGTAAAAAATTCAACTTTGCTGAAAATTGGAAATCCCTATCCGCAAATTACTACTAAATTTCAGTCTCACTCGGAAATAAATTTTCAAAATATTAAAAAAACCTTTCCTCACAAATCGATGAATCTAATTTCCTTCTACACAACATCCAGAAAATACACACACACACAAACAAATTACAACTAAAAGAGAAGTTAAAGCAATTTTTAGAATTAAATTTTTATGTAGTTTTCTAGAGAAAAAATTAGCAATAATATTAATTATATAATAACTATTAAATGTATATATTTATTAAATGTTTTAAAAAATGTTAAGACGTCAACAACAAAAAGAAAAACAAAACCAACTAAATCAAATTTTTTCTTTAAGTGGTTTCTTTTTCTGTTTGAAAATTCAACAAATTGCCTTTGTTTTTTATTCAACATATCATTTGTTTAAATTAAATTGAAAAAAATAGTTAATTTAAATATATAAATATTATATTTCCTGGATTTTGATTTCATTTTCTAGACAAATCATTTTAATTTCAAGTGCCTTTCTTTTGAAACAAAAATAATTGATTTTTTTAAATGTTTAAAATAAACTTTGTATATTTCTATTTTAATTTTAAAACTATCGTCCAATAATTTTTTGAGTGTAGAAATTTTGAATCAAATGCGTTTTGAAGGAACATACAATTAAAAATCAATTTTTAATTTTTTCCTTTTATTCTCCATTGAATTGTTAATTTTGCTTATCCTTTTTTCTAATAGAAGTTCCTCAATGGAAAAATAAACTAGAATTACAAAACAAAAACGATGTAAGAAACCCACCACAAAAAGAACACTGACTTAAAAAATTAAAAAAAAAAAAAACTAACACCGCCCAGGGATATTTAAAACATCACATTAAATATTTAATAATAAAAACAAAAACATTAGTATTGTAAAAAAAATAATAAATATTGCAAAAACAAAACTCTGAAAACACACAATAATACATAATTCAAATGTGCCATTTCAATTGACAACCTCAAAGCAATCAAACAATACTTCCTTAAAAAAACAAACTGATTTCCTTAAGACAAAGGATTTCCTTAACAATAACTCAGGAAACTAAAAAAAAACATATAAAAAACTATATAAACAAAAATAAATATAGCATATAAAACATTCCTTAAAAAACTAAATAACTCGCAATACACACAGATCATAACACAAAAAAGAAAAAACAGAAAATACCTTTAAACTACCTCATTTTTTAATAATTTTTCTTTTTTTTTAATTTTTTTATAACAACAAAGAAAAAAACATAATTTTTCAAGTCAGTGGAATATTTTTTACCTCTATAACAATAACAATATAATGGGCTGAAACTCTGCAGAGCCTAAAAATAGGCCCCAGTTTTATGTTCCCAACCCTCTTCTCCCCTCACTTTCAGCCCATTTGTGTTATAACAAAACATTATGTATATAGAAAAACAACCCAACCAACAAAAAATGCAATAATTTATTATAAAATAAAAGAAAATATATATACTTAATAAAAAAATCTTGCCAATTTAAAAAATAATCATAATTATTATAATAATATTATACTATAAGCTATGGACAAAACACTAAAACTATGCACTTTAAACAAAAAGTAAAATAAATAATAAACTTAAAAAAAACACCATCACCCAATCATGCTTAACAACAAAACAATTAAATGCAAATCTATAATAATTACTAAAAACAACAACTGGAACTGTAGTACTTAATTTTAACAAAACAAAACAAAGACAACAAATAAACGTAAATAAATTAACTAAAACAAGAAAAATGCATTTATTTTTAAAGAGAGAAAAACAAACAATCTTTCAACTCAAGAATTCTCGGGAATATACCTCAAATATACTCAAATGCTTTCAATTATTTTAAAATTTTTTATTTAAAAAAAAACTCATTTTTATTTTATTAATATAAGGACCCACGAATGACACAACAAATGACACAGCAAATACTTTGTTTTATTATTAATATATATTTTTTTTACTTTTAAGTTAAAAAAAAAAACAATTCTTTAAGCTTTACTTATGAAATAATTTAAAAATACAAGTTTTAAATTGATATTTAAGTTGTACGATTATGCCCTACCTATCCCCCTCCCCCCTTTACTCTCTAAGAGTTTACTTTATTTTATTTTTGTTTTCTAAGGAACAACAACAATGATCAAAAATACATATTATTATTTCTTAATAATTTCTAAATAAAAATATTTTATTTTTATATAAATTCTCCACTACCTCATTTGTATTTGATTTGATTTTTAACTTTGCATTTAAGTTTTATCTCTTAATATTATACTTAATTGTCTTTTAATTATACCCCAACCTCTATTAATTTAAGTTTGTAAAAAATGAAAAGAAATCAATATGTGAATCAAAAATCTTATGTTTATAATTATTAATTTTTAAATAAAATTTTAGTTAAAATATATATTTTTTCTTAAAATAGTTATGATTTTTTATTTAGTTTTTCTATAGAGGGTTTAACTCAGGGCTTGAGAAGAGGAAAGGAAAAACGGTAAGTATGGTTGAAGTAGTTTTATTTGGGTGAAAATTGAGTGAGAGGGTATAGAGGGAAATGATCAAGTGCCGATGAATGATATCTAGAATGACTCATTTTTATTTAAAAAATAGTAATTTGAACATATCTATTTTAAAAGAATTTGTATACCCTACACCACAAGGTGGTCAGGGTATTATGTCTTTGTGCATTTGTTTGTAACAGGCAAAGGAAATGAGATAGACCCATAGTTCCTTTTGATAATCTGCATAGAATCACATTTTGAGTCGATTTATGTATGTCCATCCGCCTGTCCATGAATTTTTGTAAACAAAGTACAGGTGTAATTTATTGCCCGATCCCGATTAAATTTTGCACAAGTAATTTGTTTGACCCAAGGACGAACCCTATTAAAATTAGACATAATCGGTTAAAACAGCACAAAAATACCTTTTCCAAATTTTATCGAGATCGGTTCGGATTTGGAATAGCTCCCGTACATATCTTCATCATTTTTCAATATTTGCGAATAGAATATTGCGACATGTTCAGCTCCCGAGGCATTTTTCGGCCACTGCGACGCGGGTTTCGATCAAGTCGCTTTTTTACTTTTCGAACCGTTTCTGCTGATGTTGCTGTTTTCTCCTGTCCACTTCCTTGACGTCGGGCTACGCTACATGTTTCACGCTAACGAGCGATGGTACGAGACACAAAAGATTTATTCACATTTAAATGATGAAGTGCTCTAACGATAGCCATTTGTGGTTTTCCAGCCAAATATAAACGAATATCAGGAATAATTTTTTTCTGGAAAATTCTCCCCAAAATGCTTTTGTACGCTCGTAAACAATATAGTGAGCTGTCATTGGAATAATTTTGACAGCTGTGGTACGAGTGGCTTAAAAATGACAGCAGTTTGAAGTCGGTTGTAGTTTTTTCATTTCACCCGGTATATCTTCAGCAGATTTGCTTTTATTGTGCACCAAACGTGTAATATTAGCCCAAATAGGATGGAATTTGGCACCTATGACCAAATTGAGCATTAAAACAAGTATGTCAAAATCGGTTCAGATATAGCTATAGCTCCGATATATATTGTACACCCTGTTTGTTACATATTTTTATTTTTTTCAAATGTTATATTAAGCTCTACTAAATATGCAAAGGGGTGTAGGATATCATAAAGTCGGCCCGCCCGACTTTTAGACTTTATTTACTGGTTTTCTTTGACATTAACTATCGTATCGTCATATAGAATCGGACAGTGAATGAGTGGCACCTCCAAAGTTACCAGTCACACAATTTTCTTTTCCAAACCGTTTAAAGGATTCCTTAACACTGGAATGTAACGTGACCAATTGCTATTCAGTTTGCAGTCAGAATATACCATGGATGAACTCAGTTCTCCCTATTTCGCCACCATTCCAATGGAGGAAAAATCTATGGGAGGTCTTATTCTCGCCTTCTTGGTTCCAACCACAATGCACCATAGCACCAGGACGCCTCTAGCATTAACCAGAGTTCCTTTAGAGAGTGATACCCTCCACAGAGTTCCAGGTCTATTCCGCAGGTACCAATTCGAAGATCCAATGGGTTTCTCTTCCTTCTCGGTTATGATTATCTGACACCTCTGCTGCTCTATAGGTCACAAAAACCGGTTAAGAATGAAACTTCAGGGCCAGAGTGATTTGGATATAAACCACAATCACAGCGGGCTCCCAACAACCGTGGCACCAGAAAAGTCTACAAGTAAAACTGAAGTAGGTTTAGAAAAACTTTATTCGGGGACATAATGCTCCACACGCTTCGAAGGAGGCAAAACCCTCCCAAAAACCTATGTCAGAAGATTTTCTGTCGGATACTGATGGAATTCCTACTAAAAGGAGTCAAGGTCGTTACCTGTCAGATTAAATTCAATTTCTCTGGTTAGATAGTGCGAACGCTTTCGCAAGAGAAGTGGAAGGAAGTAGCGACCTTGAAAATTGAAAAACGGTACTCGGGGACCATTTGAGGATCATTTGTTGCGGACAGGGGTTCGTATGTAGGAGGTCATCACTTCCGACAAGATTAATTAAAGTAAGGTGGGGTTCGCAATGGCTTTTCTTCTAAAAGAAGTCAAGGCTATTAACTGCCAGAATAAGGAGTCGTGAAACATCCTTGTGAATACAGTAACGGCATGGACTTCATTCAGCTGGCCGTAGACCTAAATCCACAACAGAATGGCATTGACCCTCCATACAATGAAATATTGTTAGATTATTTTGAAAGGTATAAGTCGGATGGTAGAAGCCACCTTATGACCTAAAGTGGAGACGAAGATAATTACCCAATGTCAGAATAATTACATGCCTTATTTGAAATACATGTTAGGATCTTAGCGTAGGGGTCATTCAGACGGGATATAAACTTCTGAGGTGTGTCGAAAAGTATATAACGATATAATGAAAAGCCTTACCTAATCAACATTTCCATCTAGCCGGTCTGAGTAGTATTCATGCTAATGCAGTTACCGAAGATATAAATCAATAAAAAAATAAATATCGTCCTCGGTTTCTACCTTGAATCCTCTGAAAATGAAGAATATTCGCAGCCTAAACAACCCTGACCAGGTTTGGTCTAATTAGTTCAGGATGCAATTATCCGAATTTTTATTATACTTGGAATTGGAAAAATGAAATGGAATATAAAGATTTTTATACACAACTTTTTTCCTAATACGGAGTATTTTTTAAGATTTAAGAAGCAGCAAACATTTTTCAAAAATCATGATACTTCATCATAACATAACTGAAGATGGGATGTTTTGGCACACCCGCTTCATTAGAGGAGACCATTCTCCTAATAAAACAAAAACATAATTTAATGAGAAAAACTTACAATAATTAATTTGTTTTTTATTTTAAACATATAAAATATATAAATTAACATATTATTTTAAAAATAATGTAAAGAAAATAAATAAACTTAAATCGAATACGAGAATAATTCATTACAAAGAACGTAAAAAGTTAAATACAGTTAACAAGCATGTATAGTATAAATATTTTACATCATTTTGTTTTTTTTTTTTTTTTCATGGGGGACGAGAAAGTGGAGAACGCATTGAAATTTGGGAGGACCAGCATTTGTTTTCACAAGAATAAAACAAAAAGAACAAACATAATTAATAGTAGTATTCATTACTTATTCAACATGGTATATATAAAAATTGCAAACAATTCAAACATATTCTATTTTAGTGACAAGTGCAATAACTAAATTTAAGTACACTAGACAAAAAATTACATAGATTATTTAAATGGGGGTGGAGGGATCCCCGGCCAGCTCGGAAGACCCAACAATTGTAAATGATTATAAAACAAATTACACAGTAATAAATGCCACTTAGATTTAGATTAGGATTGCCCAAGTTGTGAGCGCAGTCTCTGGATTTCTTCACGGCGTGTATGTAGAACAATTTTTGCATTTTCATATTTCTCTCGGAGAAGATTTAGTTCTTTCTTCATTGAATCGCACTGACTCTGAAATGGGAGAAAAAAAAAAAACAAATTAGAAAAAAAATGAAGTTTGAGAATTAACTCAAATTATATTAACTTTAAACAGATAGGTTACAAAATTTTGCATTGGTTTAAAATCTATCACCACCTACCCAGTAAAAAAATGTAAATTCAGTTCAAGTTACACTACTTACCTTCAACATCTTCATTTGTGTCGCCTCTAACGTATTCATTGAATTTCCATCGGTATTTTCTTTTTGTGAAATTCTTTCTTCCAATTCTTTAATGCGATCTTTGCGATAGCGACAAATATTTATCAAATCATTATATTTGCCTTGCAAGGTATTAAATGAAGTGCTAATATCACCATCTGTTTGTGTCTCAACATCCACTGTGTCTGCGACCACTATCACAGGTGTATTATTGGATTCCGATGACGTTGTAGCAGCTTTCTTTTCCGCAGCTTGTGCTTGTAACTGAGCCTGAACTTGTGCCAATGCGGCCATGGCCTTTTCAGTTTTTTGTGTTTGTTCATAGATTTTTTGTTTGTAACGCTTTAGTTTTTCTTGTTCCTCTTGCAGACGTTTCATTAGAGCGGCCTTTTCATCTTTCAATGGATGGTTTTTCAATTCCATACTCAAGGCGGTGACCTGACTTTCGCGTATGAACAAATTACGTTCACATTCTTTTAGCTTTCGATCCAGTTCTTCGCATTTGCATGCAACTGCAAAAAAGAGAGAAAAATTATTCTTCATAAGTTTCATGTGCCAAAAATAATTGTATTCTTCTAAAACTTACCCATTGGATCGGTCATCGTTTCTTTTTCCTGAGTTATACCACATCGCCGTTCATCGAATGTGCTCAAGCGTCTGTTTTTACGTTTATCGCTGATATTTAGTGCATCTAAACTCTTTCGTGGTCGTGGAGAACTGGAAGAGGTATTGGCCACATCCATGGAAGTGTTGCCTGATGTATTCAGGCTTTGTCGTTCCAAATTCAAATTGTTGATGGTAATTTCACGTATTTTCTCTTCCAAAGATGTTGTGGTTGCTTGAAGGGTTTCGATGGTGTTGGTAAGTTGTTGTTTTTCCTCATCAAATGCGCGTTCTTTAAGATCCTGCAAAGAAATAAAATATGGTGTGATTATTTTGAGTAATGTAGCCGTAATATTAAGGTCTTAACGACGACGTGGACCTGCATAGGTAACTTTTGTCATAAGCCATTACAATATCTAAATGCGAAACTTGAAAAAATCGGTAAAAAAAATGTAGCTAAAATCATCAATATAGGGTGGTACTATTATACGGGGGCTATACCAAAATGTGGACCTGCACAGACATTTTTCTGCCTTAGGCTGCAGTATCCATTACGAACTTCAAATACCAAATTTGAAACAATTCCGATGAATAATGTCGCTAAAATCTTCAAAATACCATATATAGGGAGGTTCCGTTATATTGGGGCTACACCAAAACGTGAACCTACATGGCCCAATTTTAATACCAAAAGCCTTGCAGACATAATATTTGAGTAAAAAAATTTTATCAATCTACTTCATTTCGTTCGAAAGCAAGAGTGATTTCCACAGACGGAGAGGCGGACGGACATCGCTAAATCGACATAGAATTTTATATATACTTTGTGGGGTCTAAAATGTATATTTCGACAAACTTAATATACCCTCCATACTATGGTGGAGGGTACAAAAATAGGGTTTCCTTTCAGCCTAAGACCAATTATAATTTTTCTAAGATTTCTTAAGTTTTAATTTAGAATATGTCCATTTCCACATCTGACCTTAGTATACTAATAGCAAGGTTTCAGCATAGGATACTGTAGAGTTCTTCGATATGAAGTTGCGGGTCAAATCAACCTCGACTTATATAGCTTCATAATGTCAGGTCTGACACAATCCAAAAATCTCGCTACAATCCTAGATCGGCGATTAAACAGGGCCAGGAGCATCGAAGATCGTACAAAGGGTCTTATCGCACACTAAGTCATAAGTCGTACATGTCACGGAGGTCTTTCCCACAGCTAATAGTGTCTCATCTGATGAAATGAGATTGAGTTCAGATTACTTTCGATGCTAATCACCAGCCACTGGATCCTTTGGCTTAGTTTCAAGCGGTGGGAAATTAGCTGATACTGCGGAAACCGGGGGACAAACTTTGTTGCGCTTTGAACACACAGGTGCTTACTGACACTCTTGGGTACGGGAGTTCTATCCGCAATATAATGGCTTGGATGACTTACACTTTTACGCACTCAAAATTCCTGCCTTCCTAGTGCCTTGAGGTTTTTGCTCATACTTTTTAATTTAGAGCAAATATGGTTGGTTTGCGCAGAAGACTTGAACATGCTATCGAATGTGATCCTAGAATCGCAATGGTCGGAATTTTGTGCACCTCGGCCAGCATATCCAGCTGTGTACTCATCATCGCTGTATGTGTGATAAATGTCTTATCAGACAAGACATATAGACTATGTGATAGATGGGAAATAGAAACTAGCATATTCCTTGTACGTTGATCTCATTATCATTTATAGGTTTACCAACAGGATATCTTGAAGAGGCAACCCAACTTCCTAAAAAAAATTCATCCAACATTTTACATTCTATATGTTCCCTCGTCTCCAATATTTTTTCTAGGATTAACAATGAAACAACTGTCGACTCCTATGTAGCTGTGCATCCTTGAAAACAAAACCAAAACTATTAAAATGGGGAGTCCTAGTATCTAACACAATATAATTATCCTCCTACTGTTCTTCAAGGCTACCCTACACTTGCTAACTACCTTAGATTTGACTAAGTTGTCATTTAACCTGGTGTTTTTTACCCAACCCCTCTTAAAAATACAAAACAATTTTAGTTCAAGTGGAACAACCCCTTTACTTACCATCTCTGTTCGCAAGGCATTATAGCTTTCCAGCTGACGGTCCAACAGATCCTTATGATGCTGTAGGTCATCACGTAAATTACGACTGCAACGTCCAGCCTCCTCAACGGTGGCTTCCATTTTACGTTGCATTTCAACATAGTCCGTTTTTAGGGCGGCCAGTTGATTTTGCAACATTGCACCTTCTTGCAGTTTGAGATTGGCTTCATGCAGTTGTTGTTCCAATTGTTGATTTACGCTTTGGAGCTGTTCATTTGATGTTTGTAAAGAGGTGTATTTCAATTGAAGTTCACCCAGCGAATTCTTCAGTTCAATTGTCTCATGCTGCAATGAGGTTTGTTGAGACTGCAATTGTTCTTGGAGGGTGGTAAGCTTTGATAGCAACTCCCTTTCCGAATTGGAAGCTTGTAATAACTGTAATTCAAGCTGCTGAATTTGTTCGGTTTGCTTGCGATTTGTTTCTTCATGCAATTGGGCATTGGAGGCCATCAAAGATTTAAGATTTTTAATTTCATTTGAGAGATCTGTCGTTTGTTGCATTGCAACGTTGAGGGAACGTTCAACTTCTTCATGTTCGACGAGAAGTGTTTCATACGACTTGGCTTTGGAACGAGTTTCATGCAATTCTTGGGAGAGTTTTTCAATCTTTTGGCTAAAGGTATTTTCCTGTTGTTTGTATTGGGAAATATCACGTTCGTATTTGCTGATTGTGATTTGTATGGTGTCACGTTCTTGTTGCAGAGAACACAGCCTTTCAGCATGCGCATTTTTGAGATCAACAATGGAGGCTTCCAATTTCGATTTTTCCTCTGCGAGTTGTTGATATTTTTGCAGTTCCAGTTCAAGAGTTTCATTCTTCTTGCTGGCACTACTAAGGGAGCTCTTCAGCATTTCCATTTGCCGGGTATTAGCATCGAATTGTTGTTGTAGCAAATCAAGTTCTTGCTGTTTGGCTTCCAGTTTCTCATTGGTTAAACGTAAATTCTGTGACAGGTCAGCCTTTTCTTGAATCATTTGTTCAAGTAACTCCTCAACCTTTTCCTTTTCTTTTAGACATTTCAACTGATCCTTGAGCGTGGCCACTTCTTCGCCAAGTAGACAACACTTTTCAGAGAGAGATTTTTTCTCTTCAGTTAATTGGCTTAACTGAGTTTCGAGAGCACCCTGTTCGCCTCTCAACATTTGTAATTCAGTATTACATTGTTGAAGTTGTTGCTCTAGATTACACTTCTCCAATTCCAAGTTTGAACTTGTGGTTGTGAGTGTATTCAGAGCTGTTTGTAAGTCTTCGTATGCCTTTAATTGTGTGCTTTCTCTCTCATTAAAGGCGCTGAGCTCCTCATTTTTGCTGGCAATTTTATCATTAAGTTGCAGCAATTCTTCCTGCAGTTTTTCTTTTTCAACTTGAACCAGCTGCAACTGCTCTTCTAATGATTTAATTCTTTGTTGCAGTTCTTCATATTCACTCTTTAGTTTTTGATTTTCTTCTTGGTGTTTTTCATCAATCTCGCGTAATGTTTGAATTTGTTCTTCTAATGCGTCCTTTTCTTTTACAACAGCTTCCAAATTTTTAACATTTTCTTCCAGTAGCATTTTTTGTTTTTCCATCTCGGAAAGCTTATTGACTTTTGATTCCAGCGAAGATTTTTCTTCCATCACACATTCCAAAATCTTCACTTGATCCTCCAAGGCAACCCTTTGTGATTGCAGCTCTTTAAGCGCAGCCTCTAAAGCCGACTTTTCTTCAACAACAGTTTCGAAAGTTTTGAGTTTTTCCTCCAGCAATGATTTTTCTTCACTTAGCTCGGCAAGTTTAGTTTCCAGGGAGGTCTTCTCTTCTATCACAGTTGTCATGGCTTGTAGCTTATCTTCTAGCAATGCCTTTTCAATTTCGAGCTCTGAAAGCTCAGCCAAGCGATTTTCCAAAGATGTTTTCTCTTCCACCACAGACTCCAATTTCTTTAACTGTTCTTCCAATTGCATTTTTTGTTCTTCCAATGCAGACTTTTCCTCCCTCAAAGTATTTAAATGCATGTCGGATAGTTTTTCTTGATTTTCATTGGCTTCTTGTAGCTCGGTTAGCTTTTTCTCAAGACTTTCCTTTTCCTCAATTAACCTTTCAAGTTTACCATTCAATTCAGATTTTTGACTATCAAAATCATCTTTTTCATTCTGCAAAGCTTCTAATGTGGCAATTTTAGCTTGGAATGTTTGTATCAGTTCCTCTCGGGCTGAATCTTCTTTACAATATTCTTGGATTTGAATTTCAGCTTGCTGTAGCTTTTGTAGAATCTGTTGACGTTCCATAGCCAATTGATCTTTTTCCTCCGTTAGCTGTTGTAAGACGTCCTTATGAGCCTCGTTTCCATTGAGCTTTTCCTCTAACTGGGAAAGTTTTAATTGGATCTCTTCTTTTTCATCACAAAGTGTTAGCTTTTCTTTAACAATTTCATTGTGTTTTTCGTTCAATTGTTTGTAGTCTTCTCTGAGCTGAAGTAATTGCTGATCGAGTTCTACTTTCTCTTTCAAGAGAACGACTCCCTTATCTAAATATACTTGTAGTTCCTTAAAGATTTCACTGGAAGATTTTGGAGGATTTTCTAAATCGAAGTTCTGTGTCTCCATTGTGGCAAAGTGTTGCCTCATTTTCACCAATTCTTGACTAACAGCCGTGGACATTTCTTCATTTTCTTTGAGGGTTTCCATTGCTCTATCCAATTCCAATTGCAATTGTGTTCTATGTTCTTGAAGATTTTCAAATTCTTTTTCCAAAAGATTCTTTTCTTCCTGGATTCCGTGATATTCAGATTGCAGTTGTGTAAGTTTTTCTCTCTCTTCTTTAAGTTCTTGTTTGGACTTTTGAGATATGTCTTCCTTTTCTTTCATCTCATTCAAGGCCTGTTGTAATTGGGAATGCATCGTATTATATTCATGTTGCAGCTTCTGCAGCTGATCTTTGTTGTGTTGTTCCGCTTCATATTCTCTCAAAGCTTCTTCTTGTTGACGACATTGTTCTTGAAGTTGCAAACGCTGAACCTGCAATTCTTCAAAGTTTCGTGTCAGTTGTTGTAATTCAACTTTAACGGATTGACATGTTTCCTCTGCCAGCTTGAGTTGCTGCAAGGCTTCTTCACGTTGGGTTTGCAATTCAGAGTATTGTGTTTTGAGATTTATTAGCTCCTCCATTGTTCTAACATGATCTCCGTCGCCTCCTTCATCTTTGGATTGCAAATATTCACTTTGCAATTGATTGTATTCGTTTTTCACTTTTTCCATTTGTTCTTGCAGCTCTTGGGCTCGCTTTGTGGTTTCATCTTGCTCCTGTTTCAATTGTTGCAGCTGCTCCTCTTGTTCTCTGATGGTGGCCTCATAAGCATCCTTTCTATCCTCCCATTCCTTGTTGTATTTTTTCATATTATCCCTATATTCATTGGCGGACACTTCCAATTTTTCCAACATTTCCAATTGCAATTGATTGCAACGTTCCTTGTATTCTTTCTCCTTTTCTTCGTATTGATCTTGGGCTGTTTTCATATCTGATTCAAGATCAAGGTTACGTTGGGTTAACTCTTCCAACATAATAGTTTGGCTTTCCAATGTCTCGGACATTTCCCGCTCTTTGGCTTGCAATTGTTCCAGTTCTTTGCGTAAATCGCCAACCACAGGAGGTGCTAACGATTTAGTCTCGCCATTCAGAGTACAATTCATCATGAGCATGGATGAATCAAATGTACAGTTATTGACTTTTTCTTGCAGCTCCTCAAACACCACCGTCATGTCAGCCTTTTCTTTTTCCAGTGTTTCAATTTGCTGTTGATATGTCTTACAGGCACATCTTTCCACAAATATCGATTTTTCCAAAAGCTCAGCTGACAGTTGGTTAATTTGCTCACGCATTTCGCTTAGGGTACGTTCGGTATTCTCCAATAAAGACTTATTACTCTGGCGTTCCTCATCATTTAACAATTGCAATTGGGATATTTGCTCTCGAAGTCGGACTATGAATTCCATGCAATTTTCACAACCATTTGTTTCGGCATCATCACAATTATTCGCCGTTCTTGCTCCTTCGTTTGACTGTTCCTCCCCCTTCTTCTCTTCCTCATCCATCTCACGCTGCTGTTCAGCATTTAATTCCACAATGTGGAATGAATGTTGTTTAAATGAACCCTGCAGTTGAATATTTTCCATTTCGTCTAGGAAATTCTTTTGGATTTTATTTACACCGCTTATATTGCGCAAATATAATTTGTAGTTTGGCGTTTGTGAGGAGCCAGCCTGGTTTTTGGGGGTCTTGAAGATCCTCCTCTGGCCATTTTGATGTTCCAGCTCGATTTGTGTCAACGATTCGGAAAGTTGTTGGAATTTCTTTAGCAAATCATCCTCAGGGCAAGGGCTACCCTCAAATTCCCCATATTCTTCTTCTATGCAAACACCAGAGCTACGCATTGAAGAATTACGTCCAGGCGATGGTGTACAAAGCATAGATCTACGTTCACTGGACAAAACCCGTTCCAACTGAGATTTCAATTCACAGATTTCGGCTTCTGCCTTTGAAACCTCCTCGGAGTTTTGTTTCAGGACCTTTACTTCTTGTTCCAATTTGGTATTTTGTTCTTTGAGAGTATCACTCTCCTGAAGGTTGTCCATTAGCTGATTGGATAGATCATCATATTCCCTTTGCAAACCATCAAATTGTGTTTGTAAATCCAAAAGTTGGGATTTGAGCTGCTCATTTTCTTTAAGAAGATTTGATGTATCCGTCGTCGCATTACCATTTGGAATCTGTTCTCCTTCTTCTTCCTCACCACCATCTTGCGGCTGTTCCTTCTCCTTTTCTTCTGCCGCAGCTGCCACACCTCTCTCCAGTAGTTGCTGTTGGACATCTTGAACTTTATGTTTCAGTTCCACAATTTCACTTTGCAATTCTATGTTTTCCCTTTGCAGGCGTTCACAATCTGTTTTCGTTGCCGACGACTGATCCTTGCTACTCTCCTCCAATTGTTCATATTCTAATTGCAAATGTTTATATTTGTTTTCGATTTCAGCATATTGTTGTTCTATATCCTTCAGAGATTGTTGTTGTTCTTGCCATGATAGTTCCAAACTATTGTATTTCTCTTGCAACACCACCATTTCTTGTCTTGCCAACTCGACTTGATGATTTAAGGCCATACATTCTTCGGTTTTTGAAGAATTTTCCGAGCTCACTTGCTCGTATTCCCTTTGTATGTCTTGTAGTTTTTCGCGCAGTACTTGCAGATCGTTTTGCAGTTTCTCACATTCACTTCTCTCGCGTCTCTGCAATTCTTCTAGCTCTTCAATTTTCAATTTAGATTCTTGATTGTCCTTTTCGATCTCTTGATAGTTGATACGCAACTGTTCATATTCCAGAGTGAGTTTGGTAAATTCTTGTGTGACCTTCTCGTTGTCGGCTAGCAAACGTTGTAGGTCTTCGCATTTAACACATATTTTACCGTTCTCATCGATTTTCGATTCGGTTAGTGATAGTTGCAATAGTTCCTCTTTGGAATTGGTAAATTTCTCATTGGCAACTGTCTTCAAGGATTTCTCCAGTTGTGTCACCTCACGTTCTTTGTCTTTGAGAGCTTCAAGCAGCTCGTTTTCGCGTAGTTTTGCTTTGTTCTTGTGTCTTTCAAATTCAAATTCTATATTTACAGCTTCACGATTTTCCATTTCCAATTTTTCATTGGTTTTCTTTAGTACAGCCAATTCCGTTTCATATTTGGCTATTTTCTCGTTGGCACTCTTGTTGGCTGATGTTAGTTTGCTGACTTGTATTTGAAGGGCATCACATCTGTAAAAATTTTGGGAAAAAGGAGAAAGACATTTTATTAAAATATAGATTTTACTTGAGTGAAAAACTGAATACTTTTATTGTTAGTCTAAAATACATATAAAGTAATTTTTGCAAATGATTTGATGATAAAAACAATGTAAGCTAAAGTTGAAAAATACTAGTGAGTTTCGATCAACTAAAAGTAAAAGTAGTGGCCCATTCCAATAACGCTAGTGCAGTAGTATCTTTAGGTCCATGAGAATAGTTTGGGATTAACACTGCAAAGACTGAACTAGCTCGATTTGGTTCCCAATTGATCTACCGATTGTTGATGCTGTCATACCACCTATAGGCTATTATGTCAACCAATTCAAAAAGGCTCTCATCAAAGAAGCTTACAGAAAATGGCACTTGGAAACCGGTTAAAAGGTATCTAGGGTCATCTGGCCGTCAATCTCGATAAAGAAGAACCTACACTTTTTTATCAATAAAGATCTAAGAATCGTGGTGGGCACATTGACGGACCACATAGCAAAATCAGATATCTGACCTCAAGATGGGATAACGATGATCCGGACTACCGTAGACTATGTGAGGACGAACCGGTAAAGAAAGGGTTAAAGTCGGACGGGGCTGATACCCCATACCACTTTGTTTATTTCGTAGAGCTGGCCATAAGAAAAAACGTTTTTATGGAGAATTTATTAAAATAAATATAGCAACCATGATTGTTTTTGAATGCGTATTAAGGTGTTAAAGCAGTTACAATTTAAAGTCGGAAGAAACTAATAAAGAGTGTTTTTTAAGCTAGATAGAACTTTAAATTGTAAAAAGTAACACAAAAAATTAAATTTTGATGAAACTTTTTTTTTGTTTCAGTATACTCTGACACATCATCATGAATAGACTCACGCTTGAACAACGCTAAATAATTATCCAAATTTACTTTGAAAATCAGGCTCTAAAGCAGTTGGCAAATGACCCGTTGTTTTATCGCAAAATTCTGTTCAGCGATGAAGCGCATTTTTGGCTTAACAGGTTTGTTAATAAGCAAAATAGCCGCATATGGAGTGAGACCAATCCACAAGAGACCCTACAGACTCCATTACATCCAGAAAAATCATCGTACCTTATTTCTTCAAAAATGAGGCCGCAGCTCGCGTTACGGTCAATGGAGATCGTTACCGCACCATGATTAATCATTTTTTGTTTAAAAATATGGATGACATAGATCCGGAGGAGATGTGGTTTCAACAGGATGGCGCTACGTGCCATACGGCGAACGCAACCATCGACTTATTGAAATCAAAATTTGGCGATAAGTTGATTTCGAGAAGTGGACCTGTCAATTGGCCTCCAAGGTCGTGCTATTTGACACCTCTCGATTATTTCCTGTGGGGCTTCGTGAAGTCACTGGTTTATGCTGATAAACCAGCAACAATTGACGCCTTGAAGGCCAGCATTGTTCGTGTTATTCGTGATATACAGCCAGCAGTGCTCGAAAAAGTGGCCAAAATTGGACGTCCAGAATACACTTCGTCAAGAACAGCCGAGGTGCCCATATGTCAAATGTTAATGTCACGTATTGACCTTTCGAATAAAAAAAAATTGATTAAAATTTAATTTTTTGTGTTATTTTTTACAATTTCAAGTTCTATTGGGCTTAAAAAAAAAAACACCCTTTATATGTGAGTAATATCATCATCGGAATCGATTTCTCCCAAATTTGTCTAAACCGATATTGATCAAAATCCATCTTATTTGAGCTGAATAACACTTTTTAGGGCCAATAAATGGGAAATCGGATGAAGATATATATGGGAGCTATATCCAAATCTGAACAAATCGCTGTCAAGTTTAGCATAAGTTTTTATTTGTGGAGTCATTTTACGGTTCTGACGGAGTTAAATACAAAATCGGAATTAACATATATATGGGAATTATAGCTATATCTGAACCGATTTTCGCCAAATTTGAAACATTTTCGTTCAAGCTGCATTCGTTTGTATGTGCCAATATCCATTTAATTTATATTAAGCGTTTAGTGCACAGTAAACTTGAAGTCGAGTAAAGATATATATTGGAGCTATATCCAAATCTGGACCGACTTCGACAAAATTTAGCAAAGGTATTTCAGAGCTGTATTTGATATATTTACCCAAATATCGTTGTTACAGCGTGCAAAATACGGCTACGGAGGACAAAAATAACAAATAGGATGAACAATATATATGGGGAGCTATAGCTGTATCTGAACCCATTTCGATTAAACTTGGCATACTTATTTTCATGACTGATATGGTTGTATGTACGAAATTCAATACTATTTGGGCTAATATTACACTTTGGTGCACAATAACAAGCAAATCGGACGAAGATATATATGGGAGCTATATCTAAATTTTGACCGAATTTCTCCAATTTCAATAGGGTTCGTCCTTGGTTCAAACAACTGATTCATCTCGATCGGCAATTGATGCGACCTGTACTTTGTTTACAAAAATACATGGACAGACGGACGGACGGACGGACGGACATGCATAAATCGACTCAGAATGTGATTCTATCTAGATCATCCAAAATAAATTATGGGTCTTCTCTATGTTACAAGCAAATGCACAGACATAATACCCTAACCACAGTGTTGTAGGGTTTAAAAAGGGGTGGAGACGATTGAACATTTGATTTGCAGGTTCCTCATGCTGTCGAAAAAGATACTTAGGTTATTCGGTACGTGGGAGGTATAATCTCTGATCTAACAAACTCTTCTCAGGCGGATATCAGATATCGCATTATCATCCACTGGCTTGCAAAAAGCAAGGTAAGCTTTCATAGATTTGATCTTTCTATTCCCTCTTTGTTTCTCTCTCAGTTTATATTTTTCCTATCATAACAAATTGATCCTAGGATGAGCACTTGGGATCAATGGTCTTCTTCTCTCTCAGTTTATATCTTTCCTGTTGCAGGTTCCTCATGTTGTCTAGAAAGATACTTAGGCTATTTGGGAAGTGAGACGTATAATCTCTAATTTAATTAACTCTTCTCAGACGGATATCAGATAACGCATCATCATCCACAGTTTTGCAAAAAGCTAGGTAAGCCTTCATAGATCTAGATCTTTCTATTCCCTCTTTGTTTCTATACATTTTTCCTATCATAACTAATTGATCCTATGATGGACACTTGGGACCAATTGCCTATGAGTGGTGCAACTGCCGACTCCAACCTACATTCCCTATTAAGCCAAAAAATGATCTTCATCACTGAACACAATTTTCGGATAACTGTCAACTTTCCAAGAGTCTATTGAACAAAAATTCTACTTGCGGTAGGCCAATTGGCTTAAATTTTTGCACCAGCTTTTTTTTAGGCTTCACACTTAAAGCGACATGTAGATAATTGATAGACAACATGAACACTTGCCGATACCGCTGCGATATTTTCTGCAGTTCGCACTTTACATGAGCATGTTGGTGGTTCCATGTTCATCAGTGTAAACTTGGTACGAAATTTAGTCACAATACCCCGAATAGCCGTGACAGTGGTTCGATTAACATAACTTTAACCCCTTCCCAACCTAACTTAATTCGTTCTAACAACGTTTTACTGTAATACCAAGTGTTCTACTGGTACAAATAAGAAACTATTACAACGATATAAGATCAACACAAATAAAAAAAAGACAAACAATCTCATGAATCAGATAAATTACAGTGATTATTTGTGTTCTGTTTCCTATGGTCGATCCTCTACTCTGCTCTATATGTGCTGACAGGCAATCAAAAGATAAGCAATCATGCAAACTGTTTTAACTTTTAACTGTTGCATTCATTCATTTTCACCACTTATATGAAAAGGAATTAAAAAAAAAAAGAAAAACAAAACAATTAACAAAGACATCTAATTTACATAGACACAAACTAATAAAAAAAAAACAAGTGCGACTGCATAGATAGAAATAAATAGCAAGAGAGAAAGGGAGAGAGAACAAATAATAAGCTATGAAGAAAATTAGCTTAAAAAAATAATCAGTCTGACATATATATTTTATAGTAGGGTATTGGGGTGTCAAGGGACATTACATGCTAAAAAGTAGGGGAACAAATTTAATTAGTGCCCACACATTTGTCATCTGCTGGATGAACATGCAAGAAAACTGTATATTAGGGTGGAGTGGAATATGTCAAATGAAAATTACATACCAAATAATATGGCTCACTGACATTCTTGAAATGAAATGCAATTATAAGTAGTTGATATTAAGATTAACTTGAGATTTGGAGTAAACATTGCTTAAGTTTTAAAATTAGAATAAATTCAATTTGTCCCGACATAAAGTTACTTTCTTGTTTTTTTTTAATATTTTTGTCCCACCCTAATGTAAATAATAACCACAAGCATAAATGTCTTCTTGTGATTGCGGAATAAAAGATTTATGCCATGGTCTCACTCAAGTGCAAGTTGCAAAGGGAGGCACGGCGACCGACCCATCATCATCATTCCATTCAAACATACACAAAGCAGCAATCTATTTTTGCCGCCCTGCACATTGGCGGCGTGTATTTCGTGCAACAGTAATAACAACACTGTAATTTTTACAGAATAGATTAAGGGCCAAAAAGCAAAAAACCAAAAATATATTCTCCATAAAAATTGCTAAAATTAGATATTGAACTTTGTATTTTTATTTGTATTTGCATTCGCTTAACACGGAGAGAAGAGTCAACACTTTAGAAAATCACTTCACAAATGGAAGACATGCACATTTTGATGTTCTATCTTTTGTCATAGAGGGCCAACAAAAATATGGGCAACACCAAATTTTTGAAAATATTACGAGGCTTGCATACTAATGAGAGAAAAACTTGTTTTTTTATTAAAAGCAAAAAGATTAAGCTAAAAACGACTCAATATATATAAAATATATAAAACTTATCATGTAAAAAGCACAATCTGACTTAAAAATGCTGATACTCAGAAGGTCTGGTTATATCAGAGCTACACTCAAAAGAGAACCT